AGGTTCTCGGAATTTCAGCGTGAAATGCCTCTCGTTATTCCATTTTTCTCTTTTTTAATTAATAAACGTCAATCAAACCGCGACTGCGTGAGTTTGTTCCTGGAGGTTCTGGTGGGGGATGGCATCTCGAGCCCGCCAATTTCAAAACGTGAAAACTGTCTTATCGATTGAATAGAATGTTGAGTATAAATTACTCATTGTTGCGTGTTTTTCGGAACGTTATTGGAAAATCATTATTATTGGAGGTATTGTTTGTATTGAATGACGTAAAAAGTCATGGATGAGTGAATATTGAATACAGAACGAGTTGGATAATGTTCCTTTCATGTTTAATATATGATAAAGGTTGGTGATTTTGATTCTATATTGAATCACGAATTTTTCGAGTCCGGCAGAGCGAATAATCGTGATCCCTTATCGCGTCGCGTTACGGAACAATTAAATCGCGTAATGCGCATGATTTATTGCTAGAAACGGCCGATAAGGTTCCGGCTACGTTCGCGACCGTTTCTCGATAACGAGAGCTGCGTCGGTCGGCGGATCATTGAATAAGAGAACGGCCGTGTAAATCGCGTTTGCCGGGAGCACGTGACCCGATGATCTTAATTATGCTTTTATTCGTGTTCTATACGGAGCTTATCTGGTGCACTTTGCGCTCGGACGTTAAATGTTTTCCTACTTCGACCCTGAACCATCTGAACCGCCATGTTTCCCCCCGCGAGGGGAAACGTGTCTCGACCGATATTTCGACAAATCAAATTAAAGGACGTAATATTAAATCGTTTGTTTGAATTGCATTATTATTATTGCGCGTTGATCTAGCTGAATGGCGTAGATAATCTTTATTTATAATATAGAAATGTTTAAACGGATGAACTATAGTAATTCGATTTGGTTCGGGGTCACCGGTGACCCACCCAGCATTCAGCGTGTTAACGAAAACAAAAGATCCATTCACATAGAATAGAAATGTTCGTATTTTCATCGAAATCAGGGTACTTCCACCGATTTCAAAGATTTTCCCTGCTAGAGGAGACGTCTCGACCGATATTTCAACGAATCGAATTAACGAAAACAGAAGATTCGTTCGCATAGCACAGAAATGTTCGTATTTTCATCGAAATCAGGGAACTTCCGTCGCTTTCAAAGGTGCGAGATGCTCTTCGACAGCGGTCGGGTTCAGGGGCGACTCGCTCTTGCGCGTCTCGACTATTTTTTCCCTGCTTTCGTTGGTCTTTTCGGGGAAAGAAACGCGCGGAACGGTAAACGGCGACAGTAAATGGACGTGGGCGGGAAAAACGCGAAGGTTACAAGCGGCGAAGTCACTTTCTCCGGCACGACGAAATCAGGAATTGCTTTCCTATACATATACGGAGCAGCCGCCGTCTTCCTCGCACTTTGACTCGCAATCTCTCGACGGAATGACGCAAGAAACCCCCGCGTCGCGGTTTTCCTATCGATTCCGGCCCGCCGCCGTTTTTCTCCGATGAAAACACGTTCTTCTACCGTTGCTCCGTTTCCGTCGAGCCGATTCGAACGCAAATTCCGCTGCAAGGTGGCTAGGATCGGCTGAAAAGCAACGTTCCATCGACTCGCGACCTGTTTTCTCCAATTTCGATCGATCACCGTATCACCGTGCGATCGTGCGAAAGAGTCGAACGATCTCCCGAAAGTAGCCAGCTTTCTTCAATTCGGAAGATCGTCGAATTCCGAGTGAAGTAGCGTCTTCGTCGCGAGGATGATCTATTGCACCGAACCGCAGAGCGGCGCGTGCGTGCACCGCGAACGGGCAAACATTCGCGGTCTATCGACAATAGCCGGCTGGCCAATTAAACAGTCTTCGGTCCGCAAACAATGAACCGGAACACGAGCAGGTCTCGCTGGTACAGTGAATCACCAGAAGGCACACACCGTTATCGATGTTTTATCCGTCTCCGCTGACGAATTCAGCTGCGCGCCGTTTCCTCGAAACGCTCGGCCGTTGCTTGCTGGGAAAAGAACGCGGCGGAGACCTCGGGGACCGATAACAACTCGAAGGACTAATTGTATAAGCTCGTTTGGAGAAACAGTTGGATATTCTTTTCAACGTTTCGAAACCACAACTGCAACACTTTTGTTGAAATAATTATCTTCTCTCGCCCATCTCTATCAGCATGGATTTCTTCGTTCTCGTTTGAATAAAGTCACTCGTCGTCGCTGCTGATTCGCAAATACTTCGAACGATCAATAACAATCCCCTCCCTTGCCAGAAATCTGGTTTCCCAGACGAAACCAGTTCGCTCTCATGATACGGACTGTACCGTTGCAGCGAACTTGGCACTCTCGTCTGAGTGGTCAGATTCCAAAGGCGCACTCTCGTGAATTTTCGGTTCTGGTGCTTGATTCGCTGAAATACTCGCGACGAAGGGTGGGGAGGTCCGTTTCCGGACTCGCGATTGGTGTTCTCGAGCGACTGTCCCCGCCTCCGTACGCGAGTGCCAGGTTCGCTGCAACGGGCCACTGTAGATCGTGCATCGGCGCTGAGTAATCGGCGGACAAAAGGAAATCGAACGTTCTATCACGCGTCGCGTTTTTCTGCCGGCCGGGGAGAAATGGAGCAGAAAGAAAACG